TGCGGACCAGCTGGAGGCTGGGCACGCGCTCTGCACCGAGCCCTCTCGGTGGCTGGGGAGTGTGGCTGGAGGGACAGCGAGTGTCTCCCACAGTGCACGCGCAGGCCGACCCGGGGAATGCTTCCTGGACGGAGGGGGGGTCCCGTCCTGCTATTGAATTGTGCCGTCCCTTTAGTGGAGGGCACCTGGATTTTAAAAAATAGAATAGAATAGAAATGCTCACTGTGCTCACAAAGAAGGGTAAGTATTGCATGCAACGCGTTTCAGTTCTGTGTATACTAGTGGCCCGGTGCACGGATTTGTGCACATTGAAAGGAAATTAATCGGAAGAAATATTTTAATGTAGCTACCTGCCCTTTCTCTACAATAGAAGTGACAACCAAATTCACCATCGACAATGACAGATCAAAACGCGTGCGATTGGTGCCAGCGATACACACACACACACACACACACACACACACACACACACAGATGAGATGGTGATGGAAAATGGATTTTGTATACCTTCAAGTATGTGAAATAAAACGTAGTAAGAAAGCCTGGAAACACTGGGCCACATTGTTTCTGAGAGGCTGTGATGCTAGGGTTGTTTGCAGGGACAGAGACGCAGCTGGGAAGAGGGTCTCTGTGCTCGAGGCACAGGTTCTGGGAGGCGTACTGACCTGGAGAAGGCTCCCCAGATGTAACTGAGGTGACTAGTTACGATTGAGGATTGAAACTGAGGAGCTCAGTGGTGAGAGAAGGAAGAACCAAGGTTGATTCTCAGATTTAAAAGCGAGAAATTGATTGGACAGAAATGTCATATACTAAAGGGGGAAAGATTGGAAAACATATTAGCAATGTATAAATTCTATTCCAGTAATAGTTCATTATAGCAATATTAGCTAATAAATCTTGGTTTGAACATATGTTTGAATAACATTAACCTACATGGTAGAAAAGCAAAAACAAACACTCCTGGAGTTCCTGATTAGATAATACATTGTCATAGGTTGCTATGTCACCCCAAACCCAAACTAGCAGTGTCTCATAATTAGAGAGTGGTTGATAAATCCTATCAATAAAGTCTTGGGATCTTCATGAAGAGCATCCTAGACAGGAGGGCTAGGTTCATGAATCAAGTGAATGCTTCCTTAAGTATGCTCTTTGCTCTACTGACACCACCCTGGCTGCATTCTGCAATGCTGTGAGGCAAAAAATAAATTTGGTGAGACCTATGCTGCTTCAGGTGATAGGAATACATCAGGGTCTGTCCCAGACTGTCTGATACATAGATAAGATGTCAACAGGTATTCAGGTGCAAGTGGACAGGTGTAGCCCTTAGATTTATCATCCTCTTTCTTCCCTTACTGTGGAATAAGTAAAAAAAGAAAAAAAAAAAAAAACACACCAAAAAACAGAAGGATGGTTTAATAGCTCCATTGGAAGCTATAAGACAATAAAGCCAAACTTTAAACAATCTAAGGAAAAATTTGTCTTCATATATTGCTGGGGTCTTATCCGCAGCTGCAAGGGTTCAGGAATCTGGAAAAGGGCTGCAATGTAAATTAAATAAACTAGACATGAAATATAAATTTAGGAGGCATGGGGGAGTCAGGGGAGGCTCCACTTTCTAGTGAAGTGGACTCTCTGACTGTCCAGACCCATGGCTTTTTATTTGCTGGGAAACACATTGGCCCTTTAAGAATGCAAACAGGTAAGGTTTGATAAATAGGAAAAGATTTTCATTAGTCAACAGAGCCAAATATCAACAGTACAATGATTGAAATTTCTTTTGAGAGCCAATTTTTTTAAACTTAAACTATATAGGTAGGTACATTGTTATTAACTTAATTAGGGTACTCCTAAGGCTTAGGAAGAGCCACACTCAAGGGGCCAAAGAGCCGCATGTGAATCGTGAGCCGTAGTTTGCCGACCATGGATCTAGTCATATAGAGCCTTGGATTCAGAAGTCCCCAGTTACTCTATCTGATGACATTGATTCACTCTGTGACTGTGGGAAGAATTATTGCTTTCTCTTGTTTTATATTTCCTAACTGTGGCAGAGATAATGGTCTTTCTGGTTAAACAGCCCTTTAAAAATCTGAAATCTGAGTCTACGGCCATACCACCCTGAACGCGCCCGATCTCGTCTGATCTCGGAAGCTAAGCAGGGTCGGGCCTGGTTAGTACTTGGATGGGAGACCGCCTGGGAATACCGGGTGCTGTAGGCTTTAAAAAAGAAAATCTGAAATCTGTGCACACTCACCAAATTCTGTATACAGTCTCATGGAGTTTGTAAACCACCAGACCCCATTCATGATTTCCTTGGGTAGTTGAGTAACTTCTCCATGTTATAAACACTGATGAGAATTAATTATTTTTTTCTGTTATGTATTTCTTTTCTTTTTTAAAAAAATATATTTTATTTTTGACAGTATTACAGATGTCTCCCATTTTACCCCCTATACTCCACTCCATCCAGCCCCTACCCCACCAGTGATAATTTAATTAATTTATGAAATATTCATAGAAAAAGCAAGCATAATAATTTATTGCATAACTCTGATCTGAAGCCAGGTCATCTGGTTTTTCTACAGATAGAGATAATCACCTTTCTGAATCAAACAAAAATATGTCACACCAATGTTTGTGTAACCCTAAAATGATTGGAAAGAAATTTTTTCTAAAAAGTCATGATTTTGGAGGGAATTTTTTCAGTTAGAGAAACCCAAAGTCAGAGTATTTTCTAATTATCAGTGATGACTGTGAGAGTTCTGTTTTGCTCAAGATTGTGGCTGCTTTTTTATTTTTTACTCTATCATCACATCAGCCACATTAGAGAAACAATGTAACTTAGAAAGGAGAGAGTGAGGAGGTTAGGGCTCAACCCTCCTGCTTATCTGCTCAGAAGGCACCTTCTCTTTCCTAAGCTTAAACCTTTCTGTTGCTAGTCCTCAACTGCCCTTTTCACGATATCCCTGTCAAATGGGTACTTAGACATGTGTTTGAAGTTTGATTACTTTTTTTTTTGTCTTTTCTGTCATCTCTCTCTCTCTCTCTCTCTCTCTCTCTCTCTTATTGAAAGTTGAACATTATATTAGTTTGAAGCTTTCTATGTTTGGACTAGAATTACTACCAATAAAGCCAGTGGAACCCATGGATCTGCTAGGCTATTATGTCACAATCACAACTATTTGCAAAACAGTTTTAAAGTGAAAGCTGCTAAAAATATTAGAGAAAAAAATGAGTGTATAGAACTTAACAGAAAATAGGTAGTTTTTTAAATCTACAGAGAATTACCTTAGAAGTGATTATATTTGTTTATTTTTTGGCAGAAGTTTTAATTTCTTTGTGTCATGAACTCCTTTGGCAGTATGGTGAGATCTTGTGGACTACTACCTTTTTGGAATAATATTTTAATATGCAAAAAATAAAATAAATAGAATTTTAAGGAAAACAAATTATGTTGAAATATAGTTATCAAAATATTTTTATGTTTTGCACATAAGTGATATAGCACTTATGTGCTTTTTATTAATATAATGTTTGCTATCAGTCGGTCTTATAACTATAATAATTTTTAAATGATCATGTAATAAGTATATCATGATATAAAAATATATCTATTATTTATATTGGTACAAAGTCTGTTATTCTACTAAGTCTTTATTACAGTTGTGGTTATGTTCATAGTTGAAGGAAATGGTGAATTTGTCAGAGGTTAGTTAAAATAAATATGTAATTTTGGGGGGGTCCAAATCCCAGGCTCCCTGAATCTATCATAAACCTTGTCTTAAAGATATAAATTCCATAACCCACTTTAGAGCGCAATCTAAACATAGGGTTTACTCACTGAATTTTCTAGAGCAGTGGCAGACCAACATCATTCAACTGTAACAATTATTACAAGTGTCCCTTGTGATTTTTAGGATTATCTCTTTCCTTAAATATCCTATTGTGTGACCAGGCCAAAGTATAAGCTTTATTTTGTTCCAGAGCTAACCCAGGGTCTGGCACAGAGTAAGTGCCCACTCAGTGTTGAATAAGGGTTTCTCTGAAGAAATTAGAAAAGGGATCAAGTTCAAAGCTAAAATCTTAGATGTGGCAATTTTCTGGCCTCAAATATTGAAGACATGGAGCTCTGCTTTAAAAGGTCATGTTGTGAAATTTACCTTTACATTTAGAGTTCACCAAATCAGGCATTCTTTTGACTTATTTTATATAGTGTGATATATACAGGTTAGTGACATAAACTGTATCAGAAAATTACGGTACAATTTCTTGAAATCATACTATTCCTAGCAGTGTTCTCCACTTTAGAACTGTTGCATAATCTAGGTAGAATTTGCTACCAAATTATTGATAAACCTGGTCCTGTCTTTATCTAGGATAGGAGTTGGCACACTTATTCAGTAAAGGGCTAGGTAGTAACTTAAAGCTTTGAAGATCATAAGGTTTCTGTGGCAATACTTAACTTTGCAGTTGTAGCACAAAAGCAACCATAGACAGTACATCAGTGAATGAGCATGATCCAATAAAACTTTAATTACAAAAACAGGCAGTGGGCCATTTTTGGCCTGTGAGCTATAGTTTGCTTGCCCCTGATCTATGATATCAGATGGCTCTTGAATCCAGTTCCTCCTCCGCACTATGGATGTAGACATATTTTCCCTCAAGCTTCAAAGGTCTTTACACAAGGGGTCATGTGACTGCACTGCTATCTGTGGGGAGGCTGAGTGTATAGCAGGTGACATGATTAGTGCCAAGAGTTTTAGATGTACTTTAACCTGTGAGTTCACAGAACTTGCCTCTTAGAGCACCACTTTATTAAGCTTTACAATGGTAAAAGTCCCAAATATGAAGTATACTTACCCAGCTTTGGAACTGAGCACTGGTATGCCAATAGAAAATTACTGAGCATAAGGTTTAACTGAGGAAGATAATGTAGGACCAGAGATGGGGGAAGCAGGAATAGAATGCAAAGGAAAAATTTATGTCTCCTTTTTTTGCAGTTAGTTCTCTGTAGTACTGTCAAATTTGAGTTAGATTTTTTTTATACTTGAAGAGTATATGTGATTGCAACTTGCTACTTAGGTTGTTACATCGTTTAAGAAGCAGAGTCCACCTCCTCTTTCACCCTTGGGTGTTTACTAGATCTGCTAGTAATAAGGAGGTAGAATGGAGGAGTTTGTGTTGGAGTTCCTAAAACTGCACTTATGGGAGCCTTTCATCTTTAAAACATAGGCATATGCATGTCAGTGCCCAGATTTTGTCTCCTTCAGGACATTCCTATTGGAAAAACACTTAACTGGATTTATCCTCAGTATCTTCTCACCACATCCCGTCTCCCCTCACACACATTTCCATTTATTCTCTACTTCCTTAGTAGCAAAGATGATGCATCCAAGCAAGCATCTATTGGAACACTGAAGAATAAAGGAAGTAGTGTGTACTGGGAGGTGAGTCAGCAGAAATGCAGCCAGATTTTGTGAGTAAAAATCACAGGCACAGTACTGCATTCTGAATCTTGAAAACAATTTGGAGACACTAATGCACTTACTAGGCGGGATGGTTGTTGTTGTTGGTGTTATGTCCATATTTAGAATCTGCTTGAATGGGGAGTTTGAGTTTGAGTGACTAAAATAAGGTGACTTACTAGGGACTGAATAGGTAGCAGTGTTGGAAAGATCAAGCCTTATAAATGCTGCATTCTAACTGCTAGCTCCTTTTGTCTCTCTTTTAATATAGCGTCTTTTGACAACGAACTTTTTTGGAGGATAAACCACTAAGGGAACAGGAAGTTTGGCCTACCCTAATGGACTCATGAGAGAGGCTCTGTATTCTATCTCCAACTACTTTTCATTCTGACTCATCTCACTTTAATTAATGTGGGTGCTATGGCTGGAGGCCAGGATCTACTTGCTAAGTATTAGGCAATTCCCTGCTCTCCACCCCCATTTTGATTTTGTACTGTATTGGCTTTGAGGAGGTGCCATCTTTTTCCAACCTCATTGCCTGCAGGACAAGCTGATATTAAGCCAAAACTTATGTATATGTATTTTACCCCTCTTGAATGGAGATATGTAAAGCCATCTCCATTTTCAGGGCTATCACTGCACCGTTACTTGAATGGTGTTGGTTGATTACAAAAAGGTGCAGTTATCATAAATGTAGAGTTTGGGAAGTATGATCCTCATGGTTGGAGGTATTCAGTAGTTACTGGGCAATTGTGAATATTGTAAAGGTGCTATGGCTTTAGGTACAGCTAAGTTTCAGTATAATGTATAAAAAGCCAACATGTGTTTACTATCCTCAGTATGTCCTCATTCTCCCACTACCTTTTCTCAGTAGCAAAGTTAGTGTGCACCAGCAGGCATATATTGGAACTTTAGGGAAACTGAGGGTAATTTTTTCCATCACTTTGAGCACTAATTATTAAATTATCCTATATGCTTTTGTGGTGCATAAGTTAGTAGATGTGAGGGAACATGGGGATGGTCTAAGAGAGCCAGTAAAAAATGAAAAAAAAACTTGAGAGACTTGTAGATTTTAAACTTTGACTTAAAGTTTAAAAATTAGTAATAGTTCCAGAGTAAAGGTCTGAGAGTTAATCTCTATAATTTCTAAAATTCTTTTAGGCTTAGTGTTATGGAATGTATGTGACCTTTTGTTTTCATCTCCTACGAGAGTAGAGAAAATAAAGAAGTGTTGTACATTAAAACCCAAAAGTATCAGCTGTGTTTGTTCTAAATCCAAGGCCCTTAAGACTTCAGTTTAAAGCTAATGTGTAAATGTTCAGTTTAAAGTAAATGTAAAATACAATGTAAGACAAAAGTCATCTTTAGAAAACAGAACAACCGTATGAAGCGGATAAGGAATAGTGTAAGCAGACAAGGAAAAAAACTTTTGAGAAGATGAGATCTTTGTTACACCATCTTTGATACACTTATAAATTGACAAGTACTTGACCTCTATCCACCAATGATGTTTTATTGAATTTTACACTTGAAACCTGTATAGTTTTGTGAATCAATGTCACCCCAATAAATTCAATACCCCCCCCAGTAATGTATGTAGCGCCTTTCAAAATTTCAACGCAGTTTTCTGTACTTATATATTTATTTAAATAGTTATTGACTGCCTACTGTGTTCCAGGAATCAGTACTACATATTGCAGTTATGAACTGCAAGTGATAAGAAACCCAGCTTAACTGACTTAGGCAAAAAAGGGGAATGTATTGGTTGGCATGACTAGTCAGGGTCTCACTTTTCTCATCAGCTTTGCTTTCTCTCTTGACTATTTTGAAAAAGCTCTCCTGATTATAGGTTGGCCACTAGATTGGCCGAGATTGTTCCTAGAGCCATGTCTTCAGATTCAAATCTACAAAGAAGTGATAAACTTCATCCAAGCATTCCCATCTGGTGAGTCCTGAGAGTCACTCTGATTGGACTAACTCACGTCACCTATACTGCCTCACCCTTCTTTCTACTCTTCTACTCTCCTACTCTGGCCCAAACCAAAACAAGCCCCTGGAGTTCCTGAGCAGTCTGCCAGTGAAAAGCAAGTCACAGGTGCTGTGCACACACAGGGGAGCAGATTACACAAGGGCATGAATACCAGGAATATAGAACCAGAAGTCTTGGGGCCATATTAAAGTCTGCCTACCACACTTGGTTCTATTTTTTAAAAAAAGAGGAAAAAAAAGGTATTTTTCTTTGGAAGTTATAACCTATTAATGTGATGAAACTCAGTGGTTGCTGATAAACAGATGTCTTAAACATTTCCCTTCTATAAATTTAAACTTTGTCCTCTGTGGGTCTCTTCTGCAAGTGAAACGGGGGGAGATGCATCTTTTAAATATTAGTTTGAAACTGGTTTGTAAACTGACCGATGTCTGCACAGTGCTGATTTTTATGACAGTCCAAGGCCACCTCCCATCGTTTCAGGTAATATCACCCCAGGCAATAGGCAGCCAACATAAATCTACTCAGTTTTTCAACCTGCCTTTCTAGGAGACAGCCTTCTGGGGAATATTTTCAGAATGAATGTCCTTTATGCATACTCACATGATGCTCTGTCATTTTGGGAAGGAGAGCCAATATTATAACAAGTTGCCAGGAAGTCCTGGCTGGTGCGGCTCAGTTGGTTGAGCTTTGTCCTGTGCGCTGAAAGGTTGCCGATTCAATTCCCAGTTAGGGCATATACCCAGGTTGCGGGTTCAATCCCTGGTTGGGGTGCATGTGGGAGGCTGCTGATCGATGTTTCTCTCCCACGTTGATGTTTCTCTCTCCCTTCCTCTCTCTCCTAAAATCAATAAAAACTTTTTTTAAAAGTTGCCAGGGAAAAAATGGATAACAGCAAAATAACCTGGGCATTTAACCAGCCTGTGAGTTTGGTGTGCTTGATGTTCATGTCCCTTTAGCAGAGATCTGACTTTTATTGTCACTCTTTGCCTAGCCAGTATTTTAGTGGTTCCTTTTGCTTCTGGAAACTCCAGCCCCAAATTATGGTGTTGTCAGGTCAGAAGCAGTACTAAGGAGTGGCTTGGAAGGAGAACCAAGAATCTCCATTACTACCGTATTCCACCTTCCCATTATCACTGCCCTTTTCTTGATATGAACAGTTGATGTTTTCTCAGACTTATGTAAAGTGCTGTGTCAACTGGGCTCCAGGACAAGACTCCTACCCTTCCACCCTTCCAACCAGATTGTTGCCCCTCCCACCAGTCCCTCCTGTTGAGAGGTTCTGGGACTCCTTCCATTTCAGGCTGATATCAGCTAAGAGAGATTTGGAAGCACTTCTTTCTTTACTCTTGCCATAGAATTCAACGGGGGAAAAGTCATTTTAAATATTGTCTGAAGGACAGATGTGAACTAGCTGCTTCCCAGACCCAGGCAACCAGTTTGGTTTCTTCTCTAAAAGCTGGTTGCTGTCAAACTCTCCAGGTTTCCTGGGCCAAAGAAACAGAAGTCAGAACCTGTAAGTGTTGACCCAGATAAACACAGCAACTTTGATCAGTTAAGTATGAATAAATCAGAAATTCATGGTTTTAATTCCCTTTGAAATAGCCACACACTTAGAGGTTATGGGGAGAAGGTATTTGGCAGAATACACTTGAAGAGTTGCCAGCCATATAATGCTTGAAAAATATCCAGATAGAGTTTACCAAACCCAAAAGCAGCCAGGTTTGCTCATCTCCACAATAAAAAAAATTAAGGTTTTTATCTATTGACTTGAACTTACTAAAGAAAAAAATAATTTTAGAGTTGAAACTAATGTTTCTTTGAAAAACTGGCTTCCTACTGCCTAATGATTGCTGAGATATCTGTGTGATATTGCATGTCTAATGCATGACATGTAATAATACCCAACGGTGGAGTATGCAAATACAAATAAAGGATCTTATGAAGAGTACAGGGACCAGTTAGCCTCATTAGGTTAAGCAAACATAAGGACAATAAGCAAGGCCAAAGCTGCCTCAGGACTTAAAATAGCTTTCCAAAGAGTCCAATGTAGAAAGTATACAGTAGACCAGCCGTGGGCAAACTACGGCCCGCGGGCCGGATACGGCCCGTTTGAAATGAATAAAACTAAAAAAAAAAAAAGACGGTACCCTTTTATGTAATGATGTTTACTTTGAATTTATATTAGTTCACACAAACACTCCATCCATGCTTTTGTTCCGGCCCTCCGGTCCAGTTTAAGAACCCATTGTGGCCCTCGACTCAAAAAGTTTGCCCACCCCTGCAGTAGACACACTCTTGAAGTTCTGAAAAAAAGAGGTACTCAAATAATAGTGATCATTATTGGTTTTTGTTGTTATTGCTATCATTAGATACCATATACTAGCATATACTTAAAACTGTACTATGTTCTGTGCTAAATCCTTTGCGTATACTGTTTCTGACCCTAACAGCTGTTCAAATACTTTGTGTGATTTTTTTTCTGTTGTTAATCCTCACCTGAGGGTATTTTTTTCATTGATTTTTAGAGAGAGTGGAAAGGAGGGAGGCAGGGGGAGAGAGAAAGAGAAACATCAATGTGAGGGACACACATTGATTGGTTGCCTTCTGCGCACACCCTGACCGGGACTAGGAATTGAACCTGCAACTCAGGTACATGCCCTTGACCAGGAATCTAACCCAAGATCCCTCAGCGCGTGAGCCAGCCCTCCTACCATTGATCCACACTGGCCAGGGCTGTTTGTGTGACGTTTTAATAAAATTCCTGATCAGAATCTGCTTGGCACAGTGTAGCACATGACCAGAGTTCAAACAAGTGATTTTGATTAAATTCACGTATGACCATATTATTACTAGGCAGCATAATGTTAAGTTCACAGACACTCAAGCCAGAATGCCTGGGTTCAAATCTGTTTTTGCCCTGTCCTAGGTGTGTGACCTTAGGCAAGTCATTTAACCTAGCTGTGCCTCAATTTCCTCATCGGCAAAAAAGGGA